GTTACCTCTAAACTGCCTTCCTATTCCACAGATAAAGAGACAGGATCTAGTGACTATGGTGATTTAATTAATACCTGCCACTAGCTTTCTTGGGGCAAAAATCATATATGTATATGGTTTTAAGAATAAAGTATTTTTCTTCCAGGGACATATTTACCCTGAAATTATTTCTGGAAAGCTAACTATGGAAGCACCACTGCTTACTGGTGTCCAAGTTAGGAAGCAAAAGAGGTTTAAAGCATAAATGATGTACTGTCTCCCAGGAAAGGCTCGCCAAGTGCCACGGCACGCAGTGTGGATTCTGCAGCCCAGGATGGTGATGTCCATCTACACACTGCTGAGAACCACCCGGAGCCAACCCCTGACCAGATAACCGAAGCTCTTGGAGGTGAGCCTTCTCGGCCTCTGCGGGCAGGGCCCAGGGTAGACAGTGCTCGGGTAACTAGAGATGGCAGTCCCGCCCACACATAGATCCCCATCAACAATCCATAGAACAGGTTGGAGTTCCAGGTACCTGGCTAACAGGTAGGCCTCCTGAGTACCTGTTTTCACTCAAGTCCTTCCAGACTCCCTCAGTCCTTTGCAGTTCCTTCCTCTACTCTAAAGAAAGTCTTTTAAATTCACACCCTCTATGTTTCTTCTTACAAAAAGAAAAGAGAGATCATGTGTTAGCAGCCATTCGTATGCATGCAGTTTCTTCCTAAATTATTCTCATTCTAATTAAAAAAAGGAGTCTACCTGTTACCAAGTTTCCACGTGACTACTTGGCACCAAGCTTCACAACACTTCACTTGTAGTGTTTAAACCTGCCAATCCTCACATATACATTGTTTTGAGATTTTTTTTTTTTTTTTTTTGAGACAGAGTCTCGTTGTTGCCCAGTAGAGTGAGTGCCGTGGCGTCAGCCTAGCTCACAGCAACCTCAAACTCCCTGGCTTCAAGCAATCTCCTGCCCTCAGCCTCCCAAGTAGCTGGGACTACAGGCATGCGCCACCATGCCCGGCTAATTTTTATATATATTAGTTGGCCAATTAATTTCTTTCTATTTTATATAGAGACTGGGTCTTGCTCATTGCTTCAGGCGCTCTTGCTCAGGCTGGTTTCGAACTCCTGAGCTCGAGCAATCCTCCCCCCTCAGCCTCCCAGAGTGCTAAGATTACAGGCGTGAGCCACTGCGCCTGGCTTTGTTTTTGAGATTTTTAAACTGTGATTGAGCATAGTTTTACATTTATTTTTTAGTATAAAAATAATTAAAAATTAAGAAAAATGTCTAAAATGTTAAAAGACAAGGAAAAACTCATTCATAATTCTGCCACCAAGAGACAACCACTGTCAAATACTTCTGCATTCCTTCAGTCTTTTTTGTGCATAAGTTTTGTTTGCTTATTTTAAATGCTTGTGACTATTATGTAATATATATAATTTTAAATCGTATGAAGAATTTTAATGGTATATAACATGAGAATTTCCCCATGTTATTAAAACCCCTTCATCAATATCATTTATACTGGCTACAAAATTTGAATATGCTTTTTTAAAAGACCACGGTTTCCCTCACCCTTTCCACCATACTTTGGAACTGTTGACTGATTAAAACAATACCAGGTACTTACTGAACACCCACTGTGCTGTTCTGGTGGGGATTCAAGAACACCTAAGGCAAGCCTTACCTTCTCCAGGAACTTGAGATCCAATGAGGGAGACACACATAAATACGGACATAAGTGACCTGCTCCAGCAGTTGATGATAGGTCTACAGAAGGATCCAGACACTCAGAGGTACAGCTCCAGCTGGGAGGTTACAGCAGACCCCATGGAGCAGGAGGACTGGGGTCTTGAAGAATGGCCCCAGTTCCTCTTCCCATAAGAGGGCATTTGAAAGAGGAGAAGTTGCATGAGAAAGGCTTGATGATGGGCCACACATGAGACATTGTGGGGGTGGCAGGTACACGAGTTAGGACAGGGGCAGGAAATAAGGTAGGAAGGATAAAACAACCCTTTGTGGTATTTCAGTAAGAAAATGTAATCACAAGATCTATTCTTCACTCGATCTTAGCCAAAAGACCAGAAAGTAATATCAGGTCTATGCTTGAAGAACCTCTCCAAGGAGAACATTTGTTCCAGAGAACCATTTTGCTGGTTTTAGGGAACAAAGAGTCTAATGATTAATACAGTTATTCTGCCAAAAACATGAAGTACAGATATGCAATATATTTCTATATTATTCCTTAAAACTTGATTCCTTGTTAATCAGGTAATTTGTGCCGCTGCACTGGATACCGACCAATTGTAGAAAGTGGAAAAACTTTCTGTGCGGTAAGTTTTTTAAAAAGAATATCAATTCTATTAACTTAATATATTAATGAACCTTTGCTTAAAATAATCAGTGCACTCAATAATCTCTAAAATAACCTCACATTGACCTTTCTAACCACTGTAAGTTGTTAAATGCACTCTGTTGGTATTTTCTTAAATAAACTGTATCTTTTTTTCATCATTTTTTTTATTTCAGCATATTAGGGGGTACAATGTTTAGCTTAGCATCTATCTTGTTTGTAGCCCTAAATTTGGCACTTTCCTGAAAAGTCTAGGGTATTGTCCCTGACTTCAAGAAATGCATACTCTATTGAAGAAAATAGAACACAGAAACAACAAAAACGTAATTGAAAAGCAACATATTAAAAGCTCAATATATCCATATCCCATGCTTATAAATTTCAAAGAAACATGGATTAAAGAGTGTTAATGAGTGGGAAGGAGAGAGACATAAAGGACTTATTGGAGAAGGGGAGTTTTGAGCTAGGTCCTAAAGGAAGTGATAGAAGTGAATGCCTGAAGAGAAGCCAGTAGAAAATTCCAAGTAAGAAAATGCATGGAAGTAGGAAAAGGAAAGCTGTCTGAGATTCAAGTAAGAAATTGATGTGACTGAAGCACTGGAAAGTAAAAAGATACTGTTTGGGGCTAAGGAATTTAGACTTAAAGTTGATAACCACATGGAGTCATTGTCTGTTTTCAAGCCAGGGGTAACACAATGGGAGCAGTATTTCAGAAGGAAAATTCTCAGCACTTGTTGGTAGGAAGTACAAGCCTGGGAAAATGTGGCGGGGAGAGAAGGCATGGACTAGTGCAGTATCCCAGGCATGCGGAATGATGACATAGCCGAGTGTGGCATATGCAGGGACAGAAACATAACTTCCCAGAAGGGGACTGCCAGAGTCATAACCCCAGACAGTGAAGGGTGTGGAGAGAGAGGAATCCAAGTCACCTGCAAACCTGAGAGATCCAGGAACAAAACAGGACAAAGACTGTTGGAAAAAAAATGATTTAGTATGTGCAGGGGATGGAGGCAGGTAGTTTTGAAACATACTACTTTCAGAAAGTTAAATGTCAAGAGGAGACATACTTTTGAGAAGGTTTCAGTTAGGGTGTTTTCCCAGCACTCTTTATAGTAAAAATTAATTTTATATCATTTTTCTTGATCAAAAACAACTCAAGGTACATCAGTTCTTTCAAAGTACCTTTCAAAAAGTTTGAAAAGATGTATTTTTATGCCAGTCATGAAGAACTTCAAGAAGTTTTACAAACTACAGGATAGTTTAACTTAAAGTGCTGGGTAAGGTACTACTTATTTTGAACCACATGAGTGGCTGCCATTTTTGACCTACAAAAACAGCAACATCTTCATATGATTCAACCTAAAACTACATGCTTATTTTCCTTGAGACAATATACAAAGATATAGATTAAAGACAGATATTTTTACTCTCACACTGGATCCCCACATTAAACCACTTATTTACTTATTATAGTTCCTTTATTGTGCAATTTGAATTGTCCCCAAATCCAAATCCCTTCTTTACTCTGTAGAAAATGACCTTACAAGTAAAAAGATCAGCTGCCACTTTTGCAGCATTTCTTATGTGTCAGACACCGTGGCAAACTTTCATCATATTTAAAATCTAACGAACGTGTTTGGGATAGATTTTATTATCCTATTATCCTATTACCCTAACTTAACAAGCTCAAGCTTTCCTGTGGGAAAGCAGGAACCAGAGCCCAGGATCCCTTGACGCCGTGCGAGCGCAGGGTCTCCAAACAGCCACGGACCCCTGGGCGGCCTTGCACATTGAAAAGGCAAACACGGGTAATTAGTCTGATAGTTACAGTAACTGACAAATGGGTCCAGGCCAAAACCGCCTACTTTGAGTCTTCATATAATGTCCTGAAAATTAAGGTTAAACGGTTTGGGCTTAAATCATCTGAATAGTTCAGAATGACATCCAAATAAACTCAGGTTTTCAGTTTATGTATATTTGTGTATGGAAAGTCTTAAAGCCAGTTTGTCTTCCCAGGACTTGATTCAAGATATGTGCTATCACACGGGTAAGATAAGAGCAGTCTGTTTGGGTTCTTTAAATCACCACATTGTAACTCCACTCGTTTATCCCACTTCCAGTAGGAGGCCTTGTCTGGCCAAGCTCTCCCTCCTCTCCCTCTTTGTCCCCTCCTGGGACTTGAGTGGCACGTCTGCACGTCTCTATCACGAGTGTGGTTGTACAGTCCCTGTGATTGTCTATAATTGCTCGGTGGCAGAGTAGCTTGTTTCCCGCCCTGCCAGGTACCCTGGTAAGTGTTTAAAGAATTAAGAATTTAATTTCAGCTGCATTACTTCCTAAGGAATCGACTGTTTGCCAAATGAAGGGGTCAGGAAAATGTTGCCTGGATTCAGAAGAGAAGTCTTTTGCGAACAGACAGGAAAAGGTAAGTATCCGCTTTTTCCACTTCAGTTAGGATTGACTGAAAAAGACCCACATAGATCCAGATTTATTCCAGCTTTCTATTCTGTTCTGTGAGTGAAGTGTAAAATAAGTGAATACCGGGCGCGAACAGCCTTAAAGAGCTCCAAAAATCAGCCAGCCTGTGCCATTCACAAGGCCGATCACCAGAGAAGGCTGTTTTCCTTCGGTACAACTTCCTGTGCCTTCCTCTGGGGTTACCAACTCGCCCCCTGACCCACAAGCGCTCTGAGGGACTAAGCAGTGATGCACCTTCATGTTCACGGCAAAAAAAAAAACCCGCAAATAATATCTGAGACCCAGCACAGAAGTTTAAAACGCAATTTCTGATGCCAAAGCAAGAAAACCAGAGTCCAGAAAATCTTCCAGGGAAGCCATCCCGTGGTCCTGGAGGGTGGGAAGGACCCCATTCTGGGGTGCCCTGTGCCTCTGCATTTTGTGTGGGGTGTCAGGGGTAGAGGCCCTGACTCTGGAGCCCCACACTTAATGATTTCTGTGCCTTTCTCAGTTACTCTGAAGTCCTGTCTGTGTTTTGTTTTGTTTTGTTGAGATCTGCACCAAACTGTACAATGAAGATGAATTCCAGCCCTTCGATCCGTCCCAGGAGCCTATATTCCCTCCTGAGCTGATAGTAAGAAACTTCGCTTTTGTTTTCTCGTAACAGGGGGTGGTATATGCCTTTTGGATTACACTATGGAATTACCCTCATTTTGGACATTAAAAGTTGGAAATGTGTCCAGCACAATCATGGGGCAATAGCCTATGTTTAGGGACCTGTTCGGCTGTACCATAAACGGTCAAAGCAGACAGCTTTGAAGAGGAGGGAGACCAGGACCTCAGAGGTGCTGTCGTTCAACCCCCTCGGCTGAAGACGCTGAGGTCAGAGCGTGGGTGACTGGCCCAAGGCCACACAGACACTGAGATGTTTTAAAGGCGTCTTGTAAAACTGGTGAAGTAAGAATCAAATGAAACTTAGAATAATGGGATTGCATCATTCTTATCATTAGCCTCTGTAATTTCAGCTCAGTGTGAGAGAAAGAGGGAGAGAGAATAATATAAATAGTGTGTGTACCCACCGTGCCATTCCACCGCCATGCCCTGCAGAGGGCATGAGGTGAGAGATCCGATTCTCCTGGTTTCTCAGAGGGGGTCAGTCCCCGTGTACCCCACTGAGTGCGAGAACTTGGATGCCCCAAGTGTGAATCTACTATTTAAAAATTATATCTGTAGCTATAGCTATGCATAGATGTAGGTTTATATCTATATGTATAGGTATGTGTATATATCTATATGTGTATATATGTATATGTATCTACAGAGTTGTAAAAAAGTCAATTTTACACCTGGTGAATGACTTAAGGGATTTTTTCCAAGGATAATTTTGCCTATATGCAATTGTTGTCCTAGAAAAAACCCTAATCTCTAAGCTGAGTCTCCTTCAAGTCACTGCTAGGGCAGAACTAGAGGAAGAAGCCTGGCACTGTAATTCCAGGCTGACATTAAACCATTCATTAAACCAAGCTGCTCCCTCTTCACACACTCACTCCGCAAACACAAATCGCTTTTACTCTATGTCCAGTTGTGGATGGACACCTATCATGATGTTTACTCAGTGGTACCCACATGGATCTTGTCAATCTGGGTGGTCTGAAACAGACCACCATTTCCCAGCCCCTAAAAGTTGAGTGTCCTCAGGAAGCTGAAGTGACCAGCAGGCCACTTGGACACCACAGCAGTGGATATACTCATGGCGTGTTGTTCAAGAGCCTTGCTGGAAAGCATGTTGGCTGTTTCTCTGCAGAGAATGGCAGAAGATCCAAACAAGAGAAGGCTGACGTTCCAAGGGCAGAGGACTACCTGGATCGCCCCTGTGACCCTGAGCGACCTTCTGGAGCTGAGAGCCAATTTCCCCAAAGCCCCACTTGTCATGGGGAACACTGCAGTGGGTAGGTGGTTGCCACATGTGTTCTTTAGTCTAGACTAGGTAACCTAAACACATGTGTCTCTTTTCAAACTCTTCATAAATGCAATTCACTTTTATTAATCGTGCCTACGGTCCTTTGGAATGCTTTGTTGTTTTCTTTTGCAAATGAATCATTTAAGTCACGGTTTTCACTCTAGCTTATTAGTAAGCAACATTTATTAGCATCCATTGTCTTCCTTTTCTAATTTTTCTAATTAGTTTAAATGCTTTCCCCCTTCAGGACCCAGTATTAAGTTCAAAAATGAATTCCATCCAGTTTTCCTATCTCCACTTGGGCTTCCAGAACTACATTTTGTGAACACCACAGATACTGGTAAGCACCTTCTAGTTCAAATAAGATGTAGCCACTGCATGTTGGTGAGCCATTAGTAATCGACCACCTACACTGGGTGAATTTGAGCACTTCTTAGACTATGTGACTTTGTTATTCATTTATTCATTCAAAGCCATTTATTGAGCACCTACTATGTGTCCTCTCTGCACTTTTTTAAACTGATCCCCTCAGCTGTGTCACTGAGTACTACATTGCCATAGGAGCCACAAGGGTGGGAAGATGCCACATAGGTTAGCCAGGGATGGAGGGATTGACCGAACAGGAACACGTAAGACATTTGCTGGTCAGTAGGAAAGGTTCTTGTCACATGTTACTCCCTCATTCATAAATCTGCTTGAGGCTAATGCCATACCCACAGATACTCACACACACACACACACACACACAAAGTCTGGGCCACAAGATTTGAAATATAGCTGTGAACAACAATCTTATTTTTACACTCTTCACAATTTACCGTGTGCTTTCACATCTCTTATCTTGTGATCCTCAAAACAACCCTGGGAGGTAGACTTAGCTAGTAACCTTGGTATCTCTCTTATCCTACAGGACACACTGAATCAAAGGGCTTAGGCAACTTCCCCAAGACCATGCGGCTGTCAGCTAAGTCAGGACTAGGTCCTAGGCCTCCTCCTCCTTCCTCATGGTGCACTGAATAAGGCTTATCTCACCAGCCACTACCCACACTAAGCCTTTGAATGGATCATAGGCCTAAACTCCTGTAAAATAGGCTTCTCCCAGTAAACAAACAGAAATCAAGTGGATAATTGATTGCTAACCTCTTTGACCTGCCTACCTTAAGTCAGTCTGCTCGTTCATTTTTTCCCCCATTGGAAAAATCTACATCAAAAGATTGGCAGGAAGAGATGGAGCAAGGGGAGGTCAGCCAGGTACAGGAGAGGGCTGGCAGGACAGAGTGTGGGGTATTCGGTTAGGGCGAGATGGGGGTGGAGGGACAGGGGTGGGTGGAACCTGCAGAATCAGATCAGTGTTTCTCACTCTTTTCTTCATTACCACCCCTCTAAGGAGCAATAGATATGGTTTCCCTAATCATCCCTCCCTGAAGTTTTAATACAATGGATTTACTGTGTATCTGTTTATGTACAGAATGTGTATTGGTGCTTTATACATATATATATATATAAAGAGTAAGATTTTTTTCACTGCCTTAGGGGCAGTATTGCCCCCAGTGAGAATGCATGAGGTAGGTGACGTCACCACTGAAATCATAGCACACCTGCAAATGAAACTGACCCGAGGTACAGGCAGGTGTCTGTTCTTCTTATCTTTTTGATAAGAGAGCAATAGGAAGAAATGGCTGGGAAAGAAAGGTAGATATGCAATACATATTTTGCAGGTCAATTTCTACTTAGGTTTAATGAACTTTAAAAAATATTCTAGGACCATCGCTGGAATTTTCATATTTGATCAATTTATTCAGGATAACTGAACTGGGAATAAATGAAGTAATGAGCACCAAATATCTGTGGCTGATACATGCTAAAATGTATGGCATGTACGGCTATCTACACGACTGACAAAAGGGATTTGGTACTTAGCATTTGGGAATAAAATAAATTGCCAGAAATATCTTTAATTATCTTTGGTTTTTGTCATTCTGAGTAAATACGAAAAGAGAAGATACATTTAAAAGACAGTTTCTATGCAACCCTATCTTGTTCCAGTTCCCTGTAGGTTCATAGTCCGCTACTCTATTTTCAGGGGTGACCATAGGTGCGGGATACAGCCTGGCCCAGCTGAACGAGGCCTTACGCTTGATCGTTTCGGAGCAACCGAAGGAGAAGACTCAGACCTGTCGAGCTCTCCTGAAGCACCTGAGGACACTTGCAGGAGCCCAGATTAGGAATATGGCTGTATGTTCCCTTGCGTTTTGTTAAATAAGTCGCAGTTACAGGCAGTCACACAGTTCTGTTCAGTTTCACAGACATTACTCTGAAGAGGAATCCAAAGTCAATGTTGAACATGTCTATACAACATGAGTGTGAGTGGTGTGTGTGTGCCCAAAGTGAGAGATAACACGTTGTGTGTAGATAGATGTGTGTCCAGGGTGAGATGTTTCCTGTCGCATGTCTATGTGTGTGTCCCAGGTGAGTGATACATGGGACACTAAGATCATGGTACTGAAGTCAGAAGATCCTGGCAAGCCACTTGGACCCCTTTAAGCCACTGTTTGTTTCTTCATTTTAAAAATTAAGATTCAGGGTCAGAGGAGATGTTAGTCAAAGGGTACAAGTTGTAGTTGGACAGGAGGAATAAGCTTTAATGATCTATTGCACAACATGGTGACCACAGTTGGTAATAATGTGCTGTATATTTCAAAATTGCTGAAAGAGTAGATTTTAAATATTCTCACCACAAAAAATGATAATATGTGGAGGGTGATGGATATGTTAATTGGCTTCGTTTAATCATTCTATAATATACATATGTATAATAACATCACATCATACACCACAAATATATACAATTATTTGTCAATTTAAAATTTTAAAATATTACATTAAAAATTGGAAGAAAGAAGAAGAAAGAATAATATAAATAAAATATAATTTTAAATAAAGTAAACTATGGGGAAAAAAACACACCCAAAACACACCCCAAAAATAAAATTCCATGGACTATCTCTAAGGTCCTGTCCAGCTCTAACAGTCTGTTATATGTCTTACCATGGAATATAAAACAGCCTGCTTTCCAAATACTCTTTTATGGCTGATTCCCCTCTTAGAACTTTGCATCAAGGTCAAATTCTAGACATGTGTATCCCACATGCCCATCCTTGGATGCCCTCAGTTGTCTAGCTTATTGGGGTTTCCTTATTATTTAAGATTTGAAAACAATTTATTTGAACCACTCCTCATTCCACACATGCTGGGCAGTTCCGCAGGATTTAAGGGCCCAGGGGATGCATCATTTCTCCTGATTGATTGTCCCTGGCCCTGCTGCGGACTCTCAAAACCCACTATGTGTTTTCCCCTTCTGCATCTTCTGTTCCTTTTCGGAACCATGCCGCTCCTCTCTCCACATCAACTTGTCCCTTAAGTCCTCCGGAGGCCCCCACTGCCTCTTCCAGGCCAATGCACGGAGCAGCCTTTCGTGAAGGCCTGAGGACACAGCCTCGGCACTCAGGTTGGGTCTCTCCACCCCACCCCGTGATGCTGGACACTCTCCCTTCCCTTTGGCCATACCCACCCTTCTCCCTAACCTGCCAGCACCAGCCCCTAATTCCCATTCATTTCCATTTTTGTCTGTCTTCATAGGTAAACATGCCTATCAAGAAGTACGTCTAAGGCGGCGGTGGCTCACGCCTGTAATCCTAGCACTCTGGAGCCGAGGCGGGCGGATTGCTCCAGGTCAGGATTCGAACCAGCCTGAGCAAGAGCAAGACCTGTTCTTACTAAAATGGAAAGAAATTAATTGGCAACTATATATATATTATAAACTAGCCGGGCATGGTGGCACATGCCGTAGTCCAGCTACTCGGGAGGCTGAGGCAGAAGGATTGCTTGAGCCCAGGAGTTTGAGGTCACTGTGAGTGAGGCTGACGCCACGGCACTCACTCTAGCCTGAGCACAAAGGAGACTCTGTCTCAAAAAAAAAATAAAAAAGAAGTACGTCTAACAGAGCAAACCATACGGGTCAGTTCTCAGGAAACTTTTCCTCCTCATTGCACATGGAGGAGGAATATGTTCTCACGCTATAAGTTGGTTGGAATCAGGAGTGGAATCTTGCACAACATATGTGTCATAGCGGATGGGAACCTGCTGCCTCAAGGCCACATGTGGCCTCCAGATGCCCAAGTGCGGCCCTCTACCTAATCAACTTTACAGAACAAATCCCTTTATTAAAAGGATTTGCTCTGTAAATTTGGATTCGGTCAAAGGCGCACTCAAGGATCCAGAAGGCCACATGTGGCCTGTGTATACATAACCTCTTATTTGTCAAGTAACTAAGTGTAGCTTTTAAAATGTCATCTTTTCTTATTAGACTTTAGGAGGACCTGTGGTGAGCCGGCCTAACTATTCTGACCTAAACCCTATTTTAGCAGCAGGAAACGCTACCATCAATCTGATATCTAAAGGTAAGACTCCGCAGCCAAGCTTTCGGCATTTCATCTTGTACTTTTCGCTGTTAGTGATGTAGCTCCTGACATGAAGTAGGGACCCAGTGTGTCTGATTTAGACTCTGAGGTTACATGTACGTCACCGCACACCCATGGGCGAAGCTGTTCTCAATTCTCCTGCTCTCCAGATGGTCTGCATCTCCTAGCTCAGATGCTTTACTGCACTTGACAATTTTTCTTAAATATTTGGCTACACTTATGAGCAAATTGTAGTATGAAAGTGATTGAAGAAAAAATTAATGAGAGATATCTCCATGGTTTTAAGGGTTTATGGCATATTTCATTGCAGAGTTTCTTTCATAAAGAGGGCAATTTTTCTTACAGGACTTTTCGTTTTAAACACAATCAAGTTTGTGGGGCATATTATTCCTTTTCTCTTTATTCAAAAACATCATGAGCTTTGAGGAGGGAAAATGATTTAAACTTGAAGAAATAAAAACAAATACATATTATTCATGGGCTGTTGATGTAAGATATTTTCTCCTTGGTTAAAATTACATTTAAAAATATTGCAGCTCAAATAAGAGAGTGTGGCAAGCTGTTTAAGGAATATGTGTGTGTGTACATATATATATATATATGTATGTATATATACAGTCATGTGCCCATGACATTTCAATCAACAGGCCACATATACAACGGTAGTCCCATAAGATCATAATATTGTATTTTTACTGTACCTTTTCTGTGTTTAGCTATGTCCAGATACACAAATGGGTATGGCCGTGCTGCGGTTGCCTACAGCATTCAGTACAGTCACGCGCTGTACAGGTTTGCAGCCTGGGAGCAACAGGCTGTACGACATAGCCTAGGTGTGCAGTAGGCTATGCCACCGGTTTGTGTAAGGACACTCTATGATGTGCACATAACAGCAAAAGCACCTAGGGATGCATTTCTCAGAATGTGTCCCCGTCATTAAGTGACGTGTGACTATCGGGAATCCCACCTGTGCCCCTAGATTGAGAACAGCTCCACCCTTAGGTGTGAGGTAAAGTAAGCAGAACATACGTACATCGTCTATGATGTCACTGGCTGCATATTCTCCAATCTGATAAGCTCATCCTGATCGAGGTCATTTCTCAAACAGATGGACAACGGCAGATTCCTTTAAATGGCCCTTTCCTTGAGAGATCACCTGAGGCCAACCTGAAATCGGAAGAGATCGTGCTGTCTGTTTCTATTCCCTACTCGACTCAGGTGAGGGCTCCCCAGGGAAGCACCCCCCACCCGGCCCTGTGCAGCAAGCCCGCAGACAGGCTTCCGGGGACAGTGGCGTCCTCTCTACTTTGAACCATCTGCTTTAGGAAGACTCTTTGGGCTGCTGCACAGGGAGGGGCAAATTCCCAGGTGACCATTTGATTTGCTCTCGCATCAGGGCCACATTATGACATTTATGGGCTCCAGGCAATTTTGCCTCTGTGGGTCCCTTCCTCCATAAAAAAGTATCTATGTTAATATACATGATTGTGATGGTATACAGATAATATAAGCCTGGCTGCATTCAGTGTTCTGTATACATTACTATATTCATTGTTTTCTTTTGACTTTAAAAGATATTAAGACATTTCCGTAGGCTCCTAAAAGTATCCTGGGCCCTATCTTTGTACCTAAAGGGAATCTCAGCCCTGCAAAAGTAGAACCTTTCATGTGAGCTGAATTTTTGGTTTCAGAGAAATATGCATCTTAGCCAAGATTGAGTAAATCTAAAGTCCACACACACCAGGCTAATTTTTCTATTTTTTGTAGAGATGGTGTCTCACTCTTGCTCAGGCTGGTCTCGAACTCTTGACCTCAAGCGATCCTCCTACCTCAGCCTCCTAGAGTGCTAGTATTACAGGCATGAGCCACCATACCTACCCACCAGTTTTATTTCTATATCAAAAATGTTTTATCCTGACATCCCTCCCCCATCCCCACCAGGATGCTGGCCACACAGGGAGGCTTTCCCACCCCATGGCTGTAATGTTCCGCACAAATAATGAGAGTCGACCTACAATGCCATGTTTGGACCTTGAAAGAACCTTGGAGACCATTTGGGCCAGTGGTTTTCAAGCTTTTTTTTTTTTTTTTGTAGTATAACGCTTTATTCAATGAAACGTACATAGAACACCAAAGACATAAAAGTGACGCTGTGATAGTTCAGTCTCAGAGGCATGGTGTCTCCCAATCTTCCCCTCATCCCACTCAGCAGCCCCGAAGGAACCATCTGATCAAAACCAACCTCCTCATTTTAGAGAAAATTAAGGCCCAGTTTGAGTCACCTGCCCAAGGCCACACATGATGATTAGGTGTTGAAAGGCAGAGAGCCTGGCAGGTAAGCACAGACTCTGGAGCCAGAGAGCTTAGGTTTGAACTCCAGCTCAGCTACTTACTACTGTGTGACCTTGTGTGAGTTACTTAACCTCTCAGTGCTCTCAGTATAGATTGGAAAGAGTGGCGTTGGTGTAAGGATCAAGTATTTGTACATACAAAGCACGCAGGAGAGCGCTCACTTACAGTCAACACCGCGGGCAGTAACCGTGCCTGTGTGATAACTTGTATCATTGACGGATCCTTTTCATTATAAATAGTCATCAAAGTGCTGCTGTCCGGCAGACAGTGGAGATAAGTACTAAGTGTTCTGAGTGATTTTCTATCCCCAGTGGCACTATGTGTCAGGACTCCGGCTGGCCCAACGTCAGGAGAATGCCTTTGCCATTGTCAATGCCGGGATGAGTGTGAAGTTTGAAGATGGCACAAACGTTATCAAAGAACTTCAAATGTTCTACGGGAGTGTTGGACCCACTGTTGTCTCTGCAAGCCAGAGCTGCAAGCAGCTCATTGGGAGGTACGTCCCAGCACATCCGGGGCACGCGACTCAGGCCTTTCTGGTGTTAATTTTTTAATGAAAATAGCACTTGGGGGATTTTTTTCTGATTATAAAATATATATATATATTATATATGATCATCTAGAAAATTTAAGCTCTGCAGAAAAATATAAGAAAGTGCAAAGCCATCCAAAAGCCAACCCCTTCAAGCAGTGATTCTTTTATTTCAGGTTTCTGTATATAGATTAACGCACAAATTACATGATTTGAGTACATGCTATCTTTAAATTTTCACTTTTAATTAACCTGCATAATAAGTAAATGTCTTCAATACTGTGTCCTAAGACATCTGAAAATGTCCTTAAACCATATAAAGAAGATGAAATATTCAAAAGCTTAAATGCCCTGCCTCTGTCACTGTCATTGTTTCTAGCATTTGAAAAGTAATTTTAAAATTCTTCCAACTAGTGCTTTTACAATACTTTTATCCACCCGTACATGATTGTCAATGATTATTAAAACCTGAGTTTTTCTTATCAGATATGAAATAACTCTATGCTTCCAAAACAGTTATGTGAAACCTTTTATTTGGAGAGTAAACAGTTCTTTACAAAAAC